GTCTGGTCATTTATGTACATGGGCCGGAAGGGAAGTGGTTAAAATGGTCAATTGTAGCCTTTGCCGGAGGCTCGAGTGACAATGCAGGAGCACCTTTGGGAGAGCGGAATAGAGTGTTTTCACCCTATACAGGAAGTGCCTAAACAAGGACCTTCATGGCAGGATCACGAGGTATCAAACGAACACTAATCTATAAATACTGACCATTACTTTTGAAATTACATGAAAATGCTAAAGTTTACGTGAGCTTAGTAATTGAGTTTACATGCAGTTAAAATTCTTGATGTAAATATTAAGGAAGCAGCAATCAACTGTCACGAGCAGGGGTGGACTGACAACTCATGGGCCCCCGAGCAATAGGGGATCATGGGGCCCTTGTGTCCTTGCCCAAACTTAAAAAAAACCTATGAACAAGGTACCAGGGGCATTTCATGGGGCCCCCTACTGACCCCAGGCCCTCGGGCAGTGCCCAAATTTCCAAATGGCCAGTCCGCCCCTGGTCACGAGATGTATGGGCAGTGATGCCATTTGCAATGAAGCCAAATATGTTCATCTTCTCTGTCCAGAACTAACATTCAGCCCCTTTAAACATGACAGACAGATCTGACCTATATATGTTATAGAATATCAAGACCATTTTTGATCTCTGGATTAGCCATCTGTTCTTCTCATGCACATCCCAGCTCCTGATTGAATTTTTCTTCTCCATCTCTTTAATTTATCCATCACATAAGGTAAATCACTAGGTGCAATAGTATATGGAAATGAAGAGTGAAAGTCGTAGCTGGATATTACTTCCATTTGTATGTTTAATTAACACTATAAATTCTTCCGTGCTTTGCGCACTGTTGTCTTGCTGGGATTCATCGCTCTGCAGATAAAAACGCTTCCTCTGGGAGATGAATCATAATAAGATTTCTAAAGATCGCAGTGTCCAGGCTGCATTTTTTATTCCCTCAATCCCCTGAGTCCAGCTGTTCTTTTAATGCACTTGTCTTACCCACAATGCCCCAGGGCACATCTGGGATTTGCTGTCAGCTGTTCATGGGTTAACACCTTCCTTGCTAGGTCTGATGAAGGTCAAGCTAGGGCAATGTGATGTATTTTCTTTCTATCAGATGCTTGTTCTTTGTGTCATTACTCATAAGTAAAAATATGTTCTAAGATTAATATATTGTATTCATATCTTTATTTAGTATTGGTCAGATTGCAGACGCTAAGAATGCAAATTTTGGTCCAATAAAGAAACCTTCCACCGAAAGTCCTTTGTTCCTGTAAGAGAAATTAGGCATAAGAAAACAGAATGTAATATGGTTGTATATTCCTTTAAAAATAATCAATTGTATTTTTACATACAGCTAACATTAGTACCTGATTTGTCTTACAACCTCCTGTCATCCAATGCAAAGCAGCACTCTGACTGAGACAATGGTTTTGAACAGAGCAGCCCCAATCTTCTTCTTCTGGGGTCCCCACCAGCGCTCTTCGTACTCTATGAGTGCCCCCCTAGGAAACTGCTTTCTATGGGGACACTCATGCAGGCTCAAACCCAAGCTGCGCTGCCTGCATTTATAGACACAAACAGCACGGCTTAGCCCCGCCCCGACTCACTCATCACAGGACCTGATTGACAGTAGTAAGAGCCAATGGCTCCCTCTTCTATCAGTCTGCCCTGTTAGTAGGGAGAAAGCAGCTGCTCTCAAGCACAGCACTGGTTCAAGTCAGGTAAGTATAGGAGGGGCTGGGGGGATTCTGTGTACAGAAGGCTATTATTTTTTTTTATATCTTAATGCAGAGAATGCACCAAAATAAAAAAAGAATAACTTAAAGTGGTTGTAAAGGCTGAAGGTTTTTTACCTTCATGCATTTTATGCATGATGGTAAAAAAAAAACCTATGTTCTGCTTCCCCCACAGCCCCCCTAATACACACCTGAGCTCCTTCTCGATCCAGTGATGTGCATAGTAGCCTCGGCTGTCCTGGGTCTCCCTCTTCTGATTGGTTGAGATGCAGCAGCGGAAGCCATTGGCTCCCATTGCTGTCAAACACAGCCAGTGAGCCAATGAGGAGAGAGCAGGAGGAGGTGGAGCTGAGCCGTGGTTCGGGAGTGAGCGTGCAGCAGTGCAGTGCCCCCATAGCAAGAAGCTTGCTATTGGAGGCACTGGTCAAGGGAGAGGAGACAGGAGTGCCAGTGGAGGACCACAGAAGAAGATTGGGCTGCTCTGTGCAAAACCATTGCAAAAAGCAGGTAAGTATGACATGTTTGTGAAACCCCCCCCCCCCCCCCCCCCCACAAACTTCAATATCACTTTAAAGTGTCATTGAACCCATATCATAAAAAGCTATCAATAAATGCTGTGTTACATGCTGCTCATGCTCACTCATTTACTCTGGAATTTGTTTCCAGTGCAGTTGGGGATTTTGGAGGGCAGTATTGGCAGCTAGTGCACATGCTCAGTTTTCAGTGTTTTTCTACCCATAACATTCCTCTCTATTACATCTGAGCAGTCCATGTGACTATAGAGTCACACATGTGGGCGTATATACAGTGGTAACTGACAGCCCACTCCCTGCCTCTTTCTCCATGCCCACTAACCAGCTAAACACAATGGGGGTGGGATGTTACATCTTGATTGACAGAGGCTTCACCTCCCAGTTATTCTAAGACACAGGTTGTAGGGATGTGACACAGCCAGTGACTGGCTCAAATTTGCCCTCAGCATATTATTGTCAAAAAATAATAATGATTTGATATAAAATACATATTTGTTTGATGATTTAAAACTGCTTATTCATAAAAATATTTTATTTTTACTTTGTATTCCAAAGGCCTTTTTTTTTTTTTTTTTTGAACATGTGACCAGCAGCCGGGGTCTAGAAGCTCCTTTGGCTTGTTTTTCCTGCAGACATGCTGGGAAGGAGCTGGGTCATGTGACAGTTATATTGATTAGGAAAAAGGTACTTAGATTTTTTTTTCATTAAAATAATTACAGTGCCATCTTCTACATACAGTAGGTGGAATTAAACAGTGTGCATTTAGTATCACAAGCCTTTAGAACCCCTTTAATTGTATTTATTGACCGAGAGAAGCCCAATTTTTTCAGAAATTGGCTAAATAAAAAAAAAAATACCTTTAAAGTGCCCCCCTCTCTCTTCCCCCAGGTTAAATGCTTGTTAAGTCTAGGGAATAGATGAAATGTTTGTAATACTTACCTGTTACTTCCATTGCCCTGCCACCAGAGCGCCTCTGCCCGACATTCCAGGCTATGGTCACACCTGTGTCCTCATGTACAATGCAGGACCATCGGTCCTGCAATGTACTTCATGCAACTGTTGGATCACCTTAAAGAAGAGACTTTGGAAGACCAGTCACACAAGTCTATACCTCTGGATGTAATGAGTATTTAACCCTTGCAGTATGGGGGACGCAGCAAAGGTCAATTTTTTTTCCTACCTGGAGTGAGATTTTAGAGTTGTGGGTAGATTTACCCCTTAGCCACAATTTTCTTTTGCCTTGGCACTGATAACAGCCATAGATGAAACTAGGCCAACTCAGAAGCCACATAAAATATAAGAGGTGGGGAGAGGCCACTCCAAACCAACAAAGGCTATACTGTACATTAGAATGCACTAGATAGGAAGATACTGAACACCTGCTGAGTGACCACGACCAGCAGTTACTTTAAAGGCCAGATAACACTACATGCATTTCAGTTGCTTTTTTTCTGCATTCAAAACACACAGAAATTAGGTTTTATGGTTGTCAATGTCATAATTCACATCAGTGCTTGCAGTTCCAGTGTGTTCCAACTGCAGAAAAAAAAAGAACGGACTGCATTTTTCCTGCACAGAACTGTACTGGAACGTGGTAACATGCATCAAAAACACACACCAAAATGCAGCAAAAACACTGGAATGCACATGTCCCTATTTACATTGAAGAAAAAAGAGGGGAAAAAATGAACCGGAAAGCATCAAAAACGCACCAGAACGCGTCGCAAAAACACACGAACGTGCCAAAAATACGCATGCAGAAATGCATCTGGAACGCTTCAGTACTGCGTTTCTATGGTATGAACTAGCTCTTAGAAAAACCTGTGCTGGGAGAAATACAATTTTCTGAAAGCGTTAGTTCCTTGGCTGTCATTCTGATCCTCTGAATTCAGTATTCTATGAATAACTGTCCTGAAATAAGTAAGCAGCAGGTCAGAGTGCAATCAGAACTCAGATCCGCAAGTTTGTATCTGGTGACTCAAAAAGTATTAAAGACCTTTGATCAGCGTCATGCTGTCATAGCCAGGCAAAAAACATTCTCAGAAGTGTTTCCTTAACAAACCACATGTTGCTGTTAAGCCACTAGTTGGGTTTCACTAGCATGGACTTTCCATCCTACCCCACATATACTCCATGCGATTCATTACTAGGTTTATTTGTCTGTAATCTCATCCCTTGATACTATATTTCCAGCAGGACGTTTTCTGTAAGAATATTTGAAGGGAAGAAAATATCACAGACAGAAAAGATGATGATCAGTGAAAGCACCAAAAGGGATAACGAACAGGTTCACTAATTTAATTGATTTGTCTGGAAAATCATACAATCTAATAAGCACAACTGTCTGGATCCTGGATTGTGTAATTCTCAGAACAAGACAGGTCTGCATAAGAAAATTCAGGCAAGCAAAGCACACATTTTTGGTTTGTCTAGAAAATGTAATACATATTTGTGTGAAGTGCAGCAAATCATGCAATTCGGGATCCAAAAAATTGTGATGTATACATGGTATGGTTCCTCACAAATTGCAGGAATCTGCATACATACAGTATATTTAGTAAAATTGTAAAGTTTTAGGATTCACTGATTTGCTCACCTTCAACACGATGCTCCTAAAATATATTAAGAACTGCAGTTATCAATCTGCCCATAAAATGTGAGTAATTTTACTTTGAAATATCTACAGTCAGCCTCATACTTGACAAATGTTATCACTTCTTTGTGCAGATCACCGTGGAGATGGATGTGGTCAATAAACCAGATCTCACAGCTGCCCTGAAAGAAATCCGTATGCAGTACGAGGTCCTGTCCACTCGCAACCAGCAGACAGCTGAGGAATGGTACCAGACCAAGATTGCCAATGTCACCCAGGAGGCAGCGAAAAACAATGATAACATGCGACAGGCCAAGGAAGAGATCAATGAGTATCGGAGACAGCTACAAGCTCGGACCCTGGAAATCGATGCCCTGCGCAGTGCTAATGAGTCACTAGAGAGGCAGCTTCAGGAAATTGAGGACAGGAACAATGAAGAGGTTGCCCAAATGCAGGTCTGTCTTTTCATACCCAACAATAAGTTCTTGTCTTCTATAATCATAAACATTTGGTAAATGGAACAATTTCAACCCATTTTCAAATACGCCTATCTTTATAAAATTTTTTAAAAATTGAAGAGTGCTTATGAACTGTCTAGAGTAAAGCCGGCCATAGATGGATCGAATCTCACCTGGTTAACCTCTTCACGCCGGTGCTTTCCGTACCTTTAAGGGGTTTCAGATGCCAGGAGGCGGGAAGGGGTTTTAGGGTCATGTGACCGCTGTGATTCACTGTCATGACGGTCACATGATTGGAATATGTCCCAATCACAAGGGGAGATCGGGACCTTTCTTGAGACACCGACATATGTGCTGTGAGCACGCAGGGTGCACGCTCTCAGAACATATGTGTTTTCAAATGGTACGCAAATATGCGGCCGATCGGTGTCAAGGCCTAGTCGCCCAGAGGCTACATATTTGTGTATGGTCTGTGTCAAGGGGTTAAACAAAGGCCGGCTGAGATTTTATCCATCTATGGGCAGGCTGATTGTACCCAAGTACCAATACCCAGATTTTTAGCATGCGATTATTGCCAGCAGCTATAGCCACTAGTAATAATCACTGTGATCTCCTGGCAAGGACGGTTCCCCGCCTCTCCCCCTCGCCGGGAGAACACAACAGCTCTGCTGGAGGGAATACCCCATCAAAACTGACTGTGTAACTATGGTTGAAGGAAAATAAATCCCATAATCTATGGCCTGCCTTAAGCATTGCTTTGCCATTTGATCACTGTGAAATGACAATAATAACCAGCTGAAAGCCAATTAGGAATAAAACACTAAATTCTAATAGGTTGCTGAACCTACTACTGCTTACTTTATAATGTTAGATGTTTGCCTTTTAAAACAGACAATTCACCTTAAAGTTGTTTTTATGGGTGGTGCATGTTGGGCCCACTTGGCTCTAGCTTTTTTATGCCTCCATTACTCCAACAGTTGGATATCCATTGCCGTAATTCCCTTCTTCTGTCTCTTTCTGTAAACCTGGAAATGTTGATGTTCCTGTCCACCTTTAGATATTCCAGCTGCTCTTGCAGAATTCTTAAGAGTATGAAACAAATACCAGTTCTAACGGGAAGAGTAGCACCCTTCATAATGGCTAAGGCAAGAGTGTAGACCCAGGATTTCAAGCACAGAGATCTTACTAACTGAATCTCTGAGCAATAAAGGGAACAGTCAGTTCGGTTAACTCTCCAACACCTACCGAAAACTAATACCAGGGTGACCCCTTAAATAAGTGTTTTTAGACCCTCAGTTCACAGCTATATACAGTCAGCCATGACAACAGCAGCCATGACATCAGCTGTGTTGTTCTATTTCACCAAAACGCTTATGTGGCTAGCAAAACACAGCTAATGTCACCAAGCAGTATAAATAATGGAAAATATCTTGAAAGGTGGGCACAATGCTATCTCTGTACAAACCTTAGGGATTCTGCACCACCTCTGAAGACTTTCTGAACATATGCTTGGAAAACAGTTATTTTTCATTGTTTCAAATAATGTGACACAAAACACCGTTGTAATGTTTTGCCTATAGGAAACAATCAACCAGCTTGACAATGCTCTAAGAACCACCAAGGGAGAAATGGCTCGTCACCTGAGGGAATATCAAGACCTTCTTAATGTCAAGATGGCTTTGGACATTGAAATAGCAGCATACAGGTAATAGATCTATAGTACTGAGTGGTGAATAGAAAACTATCATCATGGGATACAATTTTGCTTTGTAAAACTGAAAATATGAATGGGTAGATTTACTTGTCACTTGCAAATGGTGGAGACAGCCATTTCGTAGACTGAACAATTTTAGAGGGGTAACTAGCCTATTAGTTCACTAGGTGCTAGTTACATCATTGCAGGACAAAGAACACCATTATCAGATCCACTATGTGGAGGAGGCAGTTGAGAGTCATGACTTATAGTGGACTTGGGACAGTAAGCGAGGTCACACCCCAACAGCACCAGAATGAGATAACATCTGATTCTAAATGAATGTGACTCATACTGGTTCATCATGTATCAAAAATATCTGAAATGGAAAATGTTTGCACTGCCCTACGAATCCAATCAAGAATAATGAAGCTTGACTTTCTGAGACATTTTGGCTAAGCCCTATCAATCCACTGCCCAATAAGACTTCCTCAGTGGCCAACAGTTGGGTAGTAGTTTGTCAATGAGGCATGAGACTTAATGGCTTAAATTCACTTCAAGTGAAACTAAATTAGAGCAAGGCACAAAAGAGCCTTTTCCAGTACAGATAATAGTAGACATTTTGTGAGGTCTGCTCTCAGGATTTTCATTTTTAAAATTGAGTATGGTTAATGGCCAGTGTACCTCTATCCCATATCTTCATCTGGAGAATTGTAAAAAAAAAAAAAAGGTAAGTGCCTAGATAATGTAGGAGACCTCAAGCATAGGGTGCCCTGCAATACTGAGGTGGTGATGGTGGTGCCCCTGACTGCAGATTTATTTGGTAATCTCTAAAACCACCTGTGGTTGCATCATGACATCAACTAAAAACACTAGTAGCAATCTGTTCTTTCTTGATGGCATATCTTTGTGGATATTGCTGTGTTAACTATTTTTTCTCCGTTTGTCTTCAGGAAACTCCTGGAAGGAGAAGAGACCCGTCTAACTACAGTGGGAGGTGGTGGCATGTTTGGAATTGGCTACTCATACTCTTCTGGTTCGTATTCTGGGGGCAAAACATACCACTCAAGCACAATCTCCACCCACAAAGATGAGAAAAAAGATGCATCTGATGGAGGGAAGGGAGGTTCTCCTGTCCAGCCTAAGCCACCAAAATCAGCAGATGCCTCTTCTGATAAAACCACCTCCAAGAACTGAGTTAGCTATAATGTTTTAACGCCCATTCTTCTGTCATACTGATATTTTTTTATCCATTTATTTATTTTTAACTTTTATGCAAATAGACTAGCTTTAACCAGAACAGGTTAAATAATAAGCCATAAAACTGATCATACTGTCATATTCAATGAAGGCGTAACAATGAAACAATGTACTTACAAACCACATCCAAGCTTCAGGCTTAATAAACTCCTAATAAAGAATATGTTTGTCCATCCTTTCTTTAAAGTCTATATGAACCCCAGAATAAAAATGTAATGTATTAGAGCTTACGAGTCCTTAAATGTGGTGGCTGCATTAGTTTTCTTTTAACTAATGGCAAAACTTGATATTTAGTTGTATATAGAATGGAGAGGGATTAGAACACCTGTCAGGTTTTCTATTGCTCTCTGTGCCCTTGTTAGGTAGACTCACCCTCTCTTTTAGTCTTGTTTACCATTATCACCAAAAGTGAAAGTAAAAGAAAATGCCAAATTTTGGGTTGTCCCCAGAACAGAAATAACAAGGGATTCCCTCACTTTAGAGGGATTTTCTCTGTTTTGGCTATGGGACAGGAAGTAAAGGGAAATCTCACCAATGGGACACAGATGGCAAAAATAAACTTTACAGGGGTCATAACCCTCCCTTAACCTACTCAAAATGAAAAAAAAAAATAAAACAAAGTTTTTTATTTCTTTTGATCCTTCTTTCCTCAGCTGATGATCCTGCCAATAAAAGACTGTCCTGTCCTAGGGTGACCACACTCACTCAATGAATTGTATCCAAGAACAGTTTCTTATCTCAAGACAGGAAGTATATTATTTATTTCTTACAGGAACTTATATAGTGCTGTCAATTTACGCAGCCCTTTACACATATACAGTGGGTAAAATAAGTATTGAACATGTCACCATTTTTCTCAGTAAATATATTTCTAAATGTGCTATTGACATGGAATGTTCACCACATGTCGGTAACAACCTATGCAATCCATACATACATACATACAGAGAAACCAAAACAAATCAGTTCAGAAATTAAGTTATGTGTGATAAAAATGGAATGACACAGAGAAAAAGTATTGAACATGCTAACTGAATTTTATATAATACTTTGTACAAAATCCTTTGTTGGTAATGACAGCTTCAAGATGCCTCCTGTATGGGGAAACTAGTTACATGCATTGCTCAGGTGTGATTTTGGCCCATTCTTCAAATCTTGAAGGTTCCATGGGTCTCTTCTATGAACTCTGATCTTTAGTTCTTTCCATAGATTTTCTATTAGATTCAAGGTGGGTGATTGGCTGGGCCATTCTAGCAGCTTTATTTTCTTTCTTTAAAACCAATTGAGAGTTTCCTTGGCTTTGTGTTTGGGATCATTGTCTTGCTGCAATGTCCACCCTTATTTCATCTTTATGATCCTGGTAGATGGCAACAGATTTTTATCAAGAATGTCATGGTACATTTTACCTGCTGTATATTGTATATTCGCATTAGTCCCTAACCCACAAGGAGGTTACAATCTAAGGTCCCTAACTGACATTCATACATGCACATACTAAAGCCAGTTTAGACAGGATCCAATTAACCTACCAGCATGTCTTTGGAGTGTGGGAGGAAACCCTAGTATCTGGCGGAAATCGACGCAAGCACAGGGAGAACATGCAAACTCCAGTTAGGTGGTGAGGTGGTTGAGATTTGAAACAACAACACTAGTGTTGCCAGGTGGAAGTGAATTTATATCCATTTAGCCACTGTGCCACCCAAAATAAATAGCAAAATAAAATGGCAATTTATACCTAGCCTGTAACCCTGTGTATTCTGTCAGCAGGGAGGAGACTTCCCTGCTGACAGAATACACTAATCAGCACTCCTAGCTATAGTCAGTGCACTGATCGAGGGAGGAAAATTAGACAGGCTGGTTGTACATGGATTGAAATTCCCTTCTGAAATGGCTGAATTTATATCCATGTATGGCAGAATTTAGTTCATCTTTAGAACATGTTACATGTTCCGCACATATTTGGGGTGGAACATGTAACATTCCAGCTCCTGCCCTCTTCCCTGAGACAGCAAGCAGAGTTCTTCTCCCTGCACCCGTTGTCTTTTTAAAAACAGGCTCCACCGACACACCACTTCATTCATTCATAGATTCCTGTGAATGAATAAACTACAAGTACCATATGCCACTGCGGCAGACAGATTTGTAGTTCCAATGGGCTGTGGGGGTGTTGATGAGTGCTCTTGTAGTTAAAGTGATACTAAAGTCAGAATTTTTTAAAAATGTAAAATAATAAACGTCTTGAAGTCACCTGCTCTGTGCAATGGTATTGCACAGTACAGCCCTGATCCTCCTCTTGTTGGGTCCCCTGCCAGCGATCTTGGCTTCTCCTCTTCTTTGTGTGTCCCCATAGCAAGCCATTTGCTGGGGGCACATGGTGCATGCTCGCTCCCGACCTGTGTGTCTATGGAGCCATGCTTCCATAGACACACAACAGTGGGACTTCCCATTTCATAGACACGCACAACCCAACCTCTTACTCTTCACTACATTTTACTGACAGCAGCAAAAGCAAATGGGTCCTGCTGCTGTTTGATTCCCTGTGTGAGGAGGAAAATAGGGGAGAAGAGAAGGGTAGCGCTGATCTCTTCTCCCCTCTTTTTTTCCCTGCACACAGGGAAGAGGGAGCACAGGGAAACTGAAAATGTTTTTTAACTTATTGCATTGCTTGCATTAATGTAAAAAACATTTATAAGTTTAGTATCACTTTAAAGGATAAGTTCACCTTTCATAACATGTTACAGGGTGTAACATTACGAACAGACCTTCCCCGATTCCCGTTGTGACAGCTAGTGGGGGAACTTCTCCTCCCTGCTAGCTGTCACAATTTAAAAAAAACCACCCTGCCTGGCCATGTCACTCATTCACAGTATTCTGTGAATGGGAAAACTACAAGTCCCTGCCAGGGGCGGACTGACAACTCATGGGGCCCCGGGCAATAGGAGATCATGGGGCCCCTGTGTCCTTGCCCATACTCAAAAAAGCCTATGAAAAAGGTGCCAGGGGCATCTCATGGTGCCCGAGTTTCCAAATGGTCAGTCCGCCCCTGGTCTCTGCAGCCTTTGCGCATGTTGGCTTGTAGTTTTCGATGAACTACCAGCACCATGGTAGTTCATCGAGCCTTCCTGTCAGTAAGTATCTGCTTGTCTGCATGGGATGTACGAGCAAGCAGATACAGGAACAGGTCAGAGGGAGACCTACATGGCATCAGCGATCTGCAGATCACTGGTACAATGCTTTAGAGGCGCCAAAAACAAAAAATAATAAATGCACATTTTTTTACCTGCAAAAAAATGTGCATTTATTATTTTTTGTTAAAAGATGAACTTATCCTTTAACAGACATTTTTCCTCCGGTTTTCAAACAGAAAACCCATACAGAGGTACAGGCTGAAGACCAGAGGACCTGTCTGTAGGAGCCCACATTGCACCCGTGATTGACTGATTGTAGGTGCAATGCTTTCCAGTGTACTGTGGGAACAAATATTTACTGCACATGTTTTTTCTGAAAAGATGAACTTAGACTTTAGCATTAAATTGCTATAAATATAGGTATTGCCATTGCTGATCTCCTGCAAATGCGAATTGCCTGGCTGACATGTACCCAAAAATAGTGTGCAGGTCAGGAAGGCATACTTGCTCCATCTCAGTGACTCATTTGTACTGAAGTAAGAGGATCCACATAAGAGCCATGCAAGTAAAGCTGGCCATACACAGATTGAAACTTGGTTGGTTCAGCAGGATCTATCATTCAACTTCCCATGAACCAGCTTGTTGGAAAAATGTTGTTTCAATTAGCACATGCAGCCAACTGAAAGTGTCAGGGGTCCTGCTGTCAGAATAAAATGGCACAGCTGGGAGGTTTCCTCCATCCACATCGAATGTATGGATAGGGGAATCGATTCAGTTAACTGCCATCAGAAGAAATCATTAATGGCAGCTCCCATATTTACCTCCTGACAAGTCCCTGGACTCCAGTAAGGTCAATTCAAAGAAATAGGAATTTCTGTGCCTACTGTCTCATACTGTCCACAAGCTATTCCACATCTCATGAGGTAGTTTCAGGCACAATCATAGCACTGGCCACAAAAATATTCCTAAAAGCTAAGAACAAAGCCAAAAAACTTCAGTACAAGTTTTTCAGAAAAGTAGTTCTTGAAATGAAAAAGTCTTTCAGCTGCTAGAAAAATACACAGTTCTTGAAATGCTTTTAAACTGGCCTAAATTTCATCCAATTCCTGCTGAATCAGCCAAAGGCCAAGCCGTGGGTGGTCCTATCAGCACCACCCAGATCGACAAACATCAAATGAAACATGAAAAGGAGCCAGATAGAAAATTGTTGGATGAATAGGGACAGCAGTAACAGTAATTATTTTAAGAGGTGTATTTTCCCCTATACTGGAAGTACAATGTTATATCAGATTACAATAGTAATAAGGGGCACCTAAATTATTAGGTATCAAAGTATTCGCTCTGTACAAACTGTGTAGTGCAACTGGGAGGATGTGTGCATTTGGTGTAGTGCTGCTTTCGAATGACAAGATATACCCTGAAATTCAGACATGACATTTTACTAGCCCTCTCTGAGCCGCCCATGCAATTTCCAATTACCGCACTCATTTACTCATGATGTCTGTTATTAGAATCACAAATTCAATTATCTGTGATGTGGTCATGTCACATCTTAATAAGCAAGTGGACTTCCACAATGCATTATTCTTGGTTCTTCTGTTATACAAGATTACAAGGCATGGAGGCTGATACTGCTGGCCTGCTTCTGATCATATTGGCTGCAAGGCTGGTATGCTGACCTCAGACCTGAGGTCCACAGCTGGTGTACAGACTTTCTATTGAAAAGAATGGAGACTGTTGTACACATGCACTGGAGGTAACAGAGTCTGCCCAGGGAGGATTATGAAGAGACTGGGGGTTGATTTACTA